GGTGTTTTCTGCCAGAGTCTCCAGGTGAGGCCATGCTCCCCAGCTGCAGTGTAGAGCACGTTTTACATGGCTGGTTCTGTACGGATGGGCCAGTCACAACGGAATGTTTTGCCAGTTGTCCCCTATTCAGGTCACCTCGGCCTCCTATACAAACAGCTGTTGGGATCTCCCCGCCACTCCAAAAATCCAGATGGGTTCCTCCCTCACACACCCTGATAGCATTAGGGTACACTGTACACCGGTGTCTACCAAAGCTTTATAATTCTGTGGATCAGATGCGCTGGGCCATCACATGCACACAGTCCAGTAAAATTTCCTCCTCCTGGCCAAAGGCAGGGACCCTCTGTCCCTGGTTGGAGACCTCTGCAGTGTCAGACCAGCAGTCCCTTCACCAACATCAAGGGAGGCATTCTCAGTCCTCTTCTATACCTGGGGAGTGACTGGTTGCCTTCTGCTGTCTCAAGAGCAGCTGAATCTTGGATGGCGCCTTCTTAGCAGCTCTCTTCCCCCTCGGTTTGCAAACCTAGGTTCCTAACTTAGAGGTGGGCTCACTATCCCACTTCCTCACGTCCTCCCCCTTGTCACAAAGGAAGAACCAGAGACTGCCACGCAGCCTGTGCCTGGGCTCCCTGCCCCTCTGTCTGGGGGCAGGGGCTCTGCAAGGTGCCCCTGCCAGGCCAGATGCTGACCCATAGGGACAAGTAGGGAGACAGATTTTCTTCAAAACATCAGAGATGATGGGATGCTCTCTCTGCAGTTGGTATATCAAAGTCTGGCCAGTCTATTGTCACCAGATGTTTGGAATATGATGTCTGGGCATTTCGAACCACACTCCTCCAGATGGTTCATGTACACTGGACATCATCTGAACCTTTGGAGACCTGGTTGTTGTCCAGGCCATTGTAGAAGACTTCCAGCACTGCTAATTCCCTCAGATATTGGATGCTGCCTTCTGTAGTAGTAGCAGCAATCTGTTTGCCTGGCTGGTGGTTGTAATCTTTCTGCATATCTCAAAGTCTGCCCAAGGTTAGGGACCAGGTACTTTCTGCCTCTGGGGTGATTTCTCTCAGTTCTTCCTCTTGCTTCCTTGTTGAAAGACCAGCTTCCTGAACCGACACTTCATCCTTCTCGTCCTGTACTAATTGATGTACTATGGACCTTTTGACCTCTGCATCCAGTGCTTCTTTTTGACTACTAGGGCAATTACTGTAGTTGGGACTTGGGTCGCTGTCTTATTCATGGTGTTTCCAGATGTGGTTTGGGTCCCTGTCTCAACCCTGATGGTGCTGAATGGAGGCGTGAGAGACAGGGAAAGCCCCAGTACAGTGCTAAGAGCTGCTGCATTATACTGGGGTAGGTATCACTTAGTGCACCAATTCAATGGGATTACATGCCTGTAGAGGTTTGAGATCCCAGGCTATCGGAGGTGATAACCACCCCAGGCACCAGCCCAAATCCTCCCACACACCCTGCCACCCAGGGATCAACAGCCTAAAGGCACGTTTCCTTGTGGCCTCACCCACAAACTGTTTCCTCTTAACGTCAGAATGAAACCTGGTTCCACACAAACAACAAAAAGATGACAACGTTAATCAAGCAGTTTACAAAAGGATGTGTGAGAACCTCAGGAATCCACGCAACAAAGGCGGCCACATCAATCTTGGAGTGGAAGAGGGAGGTGCGATTCCTCACCCTCTCCTCAGGACAGCCCTCCGGCACAGGAGTGGTACCCGTGCCCGTGCCAGGGCCAAGTGCATGGCCGCTGCTTTTATCAGAATGTTCCCAGGCGCAGCTAAACCCAGAGATAAGCAGTGCAGCAAAGTCGGGAGCTGAAAGCAGTCGCTGACGAGCCCTAGGCTCTGTTACACAGTAAATCGAGCTTGGCTAAATCAAGCAAGCTCTGTGACCTGCGCAGAAGCCTGCCAATTATCAGCTACCGCAGCTATAGTGTGCACAGATCAAAACTGTCGTTATCTCATGCCCCACGTTGGGCAGCAATGAAAAGGACTGGTGGATTGATGGTGGCCGGCTGCCAGATCCCCACCGAGACGCTTTCTCGCTCCCCCTCCTCAGTAGAACAGGGGGAGAAAATAAGATGAAAAAAACCCTCGTGTGTTGAGATAAAGACAGTTTAATAAGAAAAGCAAAAGCTGTGTGTGCAAGTAAAGCAGAAAGAGGAATTCATTCACGGGGAGATTCACTCATCAGCGGGCAGCTGATGTCCAGCCACTCTGTGGGAAGCAGGACCTCAGCACGTGTAACAGTGGCTTGGGAAGACAAACACCATAATCCTCCTTTCCCTGAGCTTTTTTCAGAAAAGATGTGCAGCCTCTCGTTTGTGTGCTGTTTGCTGTGTGAAGCTCTGTGGATTGGATCAGAGGGCTGAGATGCGTGATCCGCTGAGCCCTCGGCAGGGACCCCACAGTGAATGAGCATCTGTCTTCACGTGTGTGTGGGATGGGGGGGCTGTGTGTGCTCTGGTGCAGCCAGGTGGGTCTCTACTTGGGAAGAGATTTAGCACCAGAGAGCTCCTGCCTCTTGCGTTGGGCCACAGGAAAGAGTTGCACCTGGGAGAAACGCTGCCTGCAGAGCTGATGGCCGGCAGAGTGCAGCGTGGGTGAGGCAACCTGCACCTGGGTTGGTTGGTTCAGTCATTTGGTTGCTCTTGAGAGACTCTCCTGGAGTTTACTTCCAAGCCTGGAATTCATATCATCCCTGGATGGATGTTTCTGTTTGTGTCAGGTAACATGTAGGGGTATGTCATGGATCATGTCCCAAGCCGCTGTGTGTAGGTCAGGCACTGCAAATGCTGTGGGTCTGCATATGCCAGGATGTTTCATGACAACTGCTCAGGAACTGTATCTCAAAGGGTTTGTACACTTCAGAAAAGAGGCACATCTGCTCCTTTTTCTTGTCCCCAGCCCTGACTGGCAAGATCTGCTTGCAAAAGAGTCCAGTCCCATGGTCTGGAGGAAAACAGGCATCAGGTAGCATGGGATGAGGCAATATTTGTCCTTTTAGGCCCAACAGTGCCAGAGGAATTGCTGGTGGATCCTGAACAGTGAGGCAGCCGGTATGCATTCCTTCTGGAAACATTGCTACAAGTACACAGCATAATGTATAGCTGAATGTTTGCTGAGCACTCCTTCAACGTCTCTATGGGAAGAGAATGTTAGTGATTTACGTAGGTGACTACTTATCAGGGAACAGGGTAGGAGCAGTGTCAGGGTCTGTGCTGGGAGCTCTGCTCTTGGGAAAGTAGCCAGAGGTGCTGGAGGAGATGAATCACCAGCTGCGCCTCTGGGACTGCAGACTAAATGTGTTTAATGCAGTGTGCAAACAGAACAAGGTTGCTCCCTGCACAGGGTTTGGTAATGAGCCCACAATAATCTGTGCTTTTCGAGGCACAGCATGCATTTTTCAGGTGGCTGTTGAGTGTTTTGTTTGGTTTTATACAGCCTGCTCTACATGCAGTTTGGGTTTGTTTCTGTGTATTCAATTTCAGATGTGAAGCAGTAGCATGAAGGGGGTGCCCTGTCATTTCCAGTGAGCTGTGGGACTGGATTTCCATGTGGATAGTGTCCCTGGACATGTTTTCAAAGCAGCCAGGAGCTTGAGCTCTTCTGAAAATTTACCCAGGTATTCTGGAGCCCATACAGGATACAAACTTTTTTGAGGATCTTCTCCAGAGAATAACTTCTGGTTTTCAGCAGTTTGATTCTGCCACTTCCTTTTTATTCCTGCAAATTGCAGGAAGGTTGCCACAAGAACCACAAACCACAAAGCAGAAGTCCAGCATGCTGCCTATCTGTGTGCTAAAGCCTCCGCTTCACTCTCACGAAGTGCACTGGAGCTGTGCTGCACAATTTCTCCCACCTCCTGGCTGAGGAACCTCATGGTGGTGGTGCACAGCTAAAACACCAAAATCTGGCTCCATAGCAAGGAAGTGACAGGGATTACTTACTGAGACATCTGAAAAGATCATTGAATATAGGCAAGTGTAACGGTTTAACCCCAGTCAGCAACCCCATACAGCTGCTCGCTCACTCGCCTCATTTGGGATGGGGGAGAGAATCAGAAGAGTAGAAGTGAGGGAACTTGTGGGTTGAGAAAAAGACAATTTAATTGGTAGAGCAAAAGCCACACATGCAAGCAAAGAAAAACAAGGAATTAATTCACTGCCTCCCATCGGCAGGCAGGTGTTCAGGAAAGCAGGAGTCCATCACCTGTGGAAATACTCGGCAGCTGCAATTAGAAAGCCCTGAAACTCAGGATCTTAGTGTGGACTGAGTAGGGGACATGTGGACATGTCAGGGGCATTGGACTAGATGATCTTTAAAAGTCCATTTCAACCCAAACCATTCTGTGAGTCTGTGATCTCTCTGTGAGTCAGTGTAGACTGTGTAGGGTGACCCCAAGTGTTGGCTCCTCATGTTATGAGTAGATTTTGCAAAAGGACACCTTCTGGGTTTATCAGAGGAGGGAAGTCCAGATGGGTGTCACTAATGCAGAGTGTGCTATGTGCAATAGGTGACATCGGTGTCTTTCTACAATGTCCCTGTGGCAGGTAGTGATAGGATGAGGGGGAATGGCTTCAAACTGGAAGAGGGGAGATTTAGAATAGATATTAGGAAGAAATTTTTCACTATGAGGGTGGTGAGGCACTGGAACAAATTGCCCAGGGAAGTTGTGGATGCCCCATCCCTGGAAATGTTCAAGGCCAGGCTGGATGGGGCTTTGAGCAACCTGATCTAGTGGGAGGTGTACCTGCCCATGGCAGGGGGGTTGGAACTAGGTGATCTTTAAGGTCCCTTCCAACCTAAACCATTCTATGATTTGGTGATGGCTGTGGCCTGTCCTGCTGTCCAGTGCCTGCGGTGCTGTCTATCCGTCCCCTCTCCTCTCACTCTTGCACCCTCACACACTCGAGGAATGCTGCTGTGGTTCTGAGCAGGGACTGGGAGCTGCAGACTTCCGGGGCCTCCCCCGTGCCACCATAGGTACAGAGCCAAACTGCAGCAGTGGACATGAGGAGAAGACCTGCGGGGAGGTGGAAGGCTTCTTATCAAACCCACAGGTATGGAAGGCTTCTTTTCAAACACAAAGTCAAAACCACCTCCTACCAGCTGACACATCCATGACTGCATTTTACCTCAGTGTTCAAAACAACACAGTTGACACTTTCTGCAGCAGGCCAAGCCCCAGCTGTGCAGACCCATGTGCAGATAGTGGCTGCGTGCCAGCCCCTGTGCACTGGGGATTAGCAGCCCCTCTGGAGGCCCAGACCAACACCCAACCACCCTCCATTTCTCTGTCTCCTCAGCCCAAGCCACAGTGATGCTCCCTGTGTGCTCAGGGTTAGTGCCCAAACCCTCATCTAAATCACTTGGCCTTGTAGGACTTCCTCCGAAATATTCCCTTCAAACTCTTGTTGGCCGACCTCTATGAGAAGTGGATGCAAGCTCTGGAGAAGCCATGCACGCAGGAAAAAATTCAAGAATTGAAAGAGTAAGTTTTGCAACCAGGAAGTTTTGCAACCAGCCCCAATGTGATGGAATGGCTGGTAGTGGCCAGTGACGTCTCCCGAAACCGAGAGTCTCACTTAAAAGACTGCCATTTACATCAGCTTGCTGTTGCTCCGTGGGGGTTGGCTTAGAGGGCTCTCGCAGCAGCACTTCCTGAAGTTATTTGAGATTGCCCTACAAAACGGGTAGCGTAGGAAGAGGAGAGAGGCTGCAGTGCCTCATCTAACGTAGTCACTGTGCTGTGGGAGCACTGACAGGGAACCTTCACACCTGCTGGTGGTGAAGTTGAGCACATGGAGACCATGGCTGTGTTTCGCTCTTTGGAAAGAGTAGATGTGGAGGCTGACCGGGAGTGCTTTGAAAGCTGCACAGCACAACCACAGGCTTTCAAGTGCCTCCAGTGACATTTCCTGGTGCCATCTCATCTACTCAAGGGCATGGACTGTTGTAATGCTTGCCTTTTTGTCAAGACCTTGTCATTCAAGATCTTATAGTTAACCACACACTCAGCTGCCGTTGGGGATTTCTGAATGATACTTCTGCTGAGCAGTGAAAAAAGCATACGCATGCCTCTCTCTGGAAGAAGCGTCATCTGTCTGAGTTTAATTGAGACTTGCTCAAATAAAGAAGTAGTGGCTGCTGCACCATAAATTAACATCACACTTTGTGTTCATGCAGGGTGGCTGACAAACTACCTAGACCAAACCTCATCTTGCTCAAGCACTTGCTGTCTCTGCTCCACCACATCAGCCAAAATGCCGAGACCAACAGGATGGACTCTGGCAATCTGGCCATCTGCGTTGGCCCAAATATGCTGAGCCCAGAGACAGACAACACACTCCCGCTGGAAGTGCAGAAGGAGATGAATGACAAGGTGAGTTGAACTCACCAAGCAGCCACCCCCTTCGGGGCAGAGCCATCCGTAGGGATCCCACCACCATTGCAAAAGCTGAACAAAACAGTACCCCTGGACATCAGGGTGCCCCTCAGCTCAGGTGCCTGTAATGTGAAGGGCAAGGCTGCCCCTTGTCTCTCCTCCTCTGAGCAAAAGTGGCAGTTCCCTGCAGTCGTATCACAGCTCCTGAGTACTTTGCACACAGAGAGCAAGGGGCATCTGGTGGGCATTGCCACCCATAGGCCCTCTGGACAGCAGGGCTCAAGCTGTGGCTGATGGTGTTTTGTTTGTATCGGGGCAGATCAATTCATCTGCAGCATCAGGCCTCATCCTCCAGAGTGGACTCACCCTCTGACTTTACATTAGGATTTTTT